CACTTTTTGTCGATGGTAAAAAAGCTTAAATGGACACGCTCTCGTTTTAGTCGATATCTGTGCATGCACATAGATACAGTTACTGAAGCGTGAGAAAAAGAACAGAATAGAGCTATAATATTGTCTCTACTTGTTTACTGTGAATAATAGTCTTTGTTGGACATTATTTATACTCGTTAGAAAGTTGCTCGTGTAAACAGTCGATCACTAGAATCTAAAATCGAACGCCATTTGATTTTGTTCTTAATGAAATAAGGACTTGAACAAAAGATTAAAAAAACTGCTTGAGATCATCGGAAGGAGTATATACTGGATTTCAACATTATTTGTCGAGGAGCCTAACGTTTTGAGCTACAATTGATTTTTCCTCTAATAGAACAAGCAATATAATCCACTTGAAAAATTTATTGTTTCCGTTGAGAGAAAAGATTAATTTGATTTTTATGCCTATTATGCCTCTGTCTTTTTTCGTTTTGTGTCCTTTTATGTTAGAACTCCATTGTTATGTATCATATTATTTAATTGTATGTAGTCTATGTTTTGGTCGTAGGATTTCGTACCGTCTTAAAGTAGAAAAAGTTATGTTATAGATGCAGAAAGCATTTTGTGAATATGTGAACATGCCGTTACGATTTATTTTCTTTGGTTTTCTTTTTTGTCCAGACAAAAAATAATTGGAAAAAAGTTAGAAGCTCAACGAAATTACGAAATTTAAAAAGATCTAATTGTTTATATCGAACAAGGAGAAAAACAACGTTTCCTGTGTACGTGCTATTTAGTCCGCAAACATATGTATCTATGTATGTTGCAGTTGAGTTTGAAATCTAGTTGAGATTAGAATCATTTAGTTCACTTTGTTTGTTTAAAAATTTTTCTAACACATGTTTAAGAAAGCTTGTTTGTTTCTTGTCAAATTTAGATTTACTATTAGTTCTTGGACAATAAAAAGTATCTTCGTATTGTTATTTTGTTGATGAAAAACCATTAGTCATTCCATTTTTTCTGTTTTTCTTTTTTGTAAAAGTAAGTCTTACTCATAATTTTCCTCACAGTATAGTTTCTGTATCGGTGTTCGAGACATGGGAACATTGAACGATTGGTTGAAATGAAATCGAGAATATTTGAGCTATTTGTTTTTATAAAACAGTTTTTTTTCGATGCTCGTGATATCGGGGATCGAATGATTGGTTCAATGTTTAGTGTTAGCAAATTCATTATTAAAAACTTGAAATTGAATGATTTATACTATTGAGAATAGCAGCCGATCTGTTTTTTGATTGATGGAGTACTAATTGGACTACAAATAGATTGTTGATTAACTATTCAATAGATTTATTGTGAGAAAGTTTATCAATGTAAGATTGTAGTTTAGAATTGAGAATGCTCATTTTTTTTGTAAGAGATTCACATGAAAAACAAACTATATAATTTATGTACTTAAAAACAAACAGACATGAATGCATTTCTTGATTGGATATTCCATAGTAGTGAATATCAATCGATTAATTATAAGGAGATGGGTAAAATTTATAAAACTCTAATAGTCACTAAATAAGAATGGTTAAAACTGAAAATTTCCTATACGTAAATATTTCGAAATAATTCAAAATAAATCATAAAAGCTCGGCCAATCATTTAGAATCGCTAAAATTACAAAAGTTGAATACAATAGTAAACGAACATTAATTATCGTGTGACTCATACTATTAACATATATTCCAAACTCAACTGAATTCCCATGTCAACTATGATATATACATGTATATTAGCAATGTTCTTCTGACTGAAAAAAGAGCGAAAACATTATCTTGTGATTGTTATGCATTGATCTCTTCATATTTCACTACTTGTTTCGTTATTGATGTGGTACTTCTCGCCTGCATTCCATAATATTAAATCTTAATAAATTCTTTATGACATCACCAAACCCTGTTATCAACACAAGTCATCTTCCTAATGATGTTTTTTCGTATCGAGATAAGCAACTTTATGATTTTGTCAGCGAATACGTTGAACAGAAAGAACAAGCAGATTTACTCGAATTTGAAGAAGTCTGTAGTTCTGATATTTATTTAAGTAGTAATAATGTTATTGGTATTCTTAAATCAGATTTAGTAGCTTTACTTCCTTCCAAGTAGTCTCTTCATATTAAGCTTGATAATCATACTTATACTAATCAACCTGGTATAAAAAGCTCATTTACATATTTAATTGAGCTTTTAACGAAGAAGAGAGCTATGATAGGAAAAATATCTTAAGATGGTCAATCATTAGAATAATTTATTGGTTTCTTCCGTGTAACTGAACATTTAAGCAGCTTTTATATTAGAGTTCAAAGATAATAACACTTTGAAATGCGCTAAAACGATTGAAACACTGGTACGGTCCTCGTCGGAGCAAAAATAATGTTACTTGGAACTGGAATCAAGACTAAGACTGCGACTTTTTTTTAGTAAATCTTGCAAACATTTTTCCATAATAAATCTACCTCATATTGAGCAATTTATCCTTATATTCTTACTTGCAATCGAACTGTTTTTATTTGAAATGTAATAGGATACGATGATGATGTAAAGAAACAAAGAGTAGGAATTTCAGGTACGTAAGAAAAAGTATGTACAGGAAAGAATCAATTTATACATGTGGAGCCTAATTTTTATTAAAGTATATATCCATGTGATGTCGCCAGTTGATCCGATAACCACATCCAAATCCATTGAAACTTTCAGAGTTCGTAGAGCTTTCTGTGTTGATTATTTCAGTAATAAATTTTTTACTTCATTGAGTGCAAAACGGCTTCATATATACTCATAATATTTGGTTCATATCTCTTTGAAAATAGGATTAAAATGTAAAAAATCTATTAATGGAAATGATCAACGCAAAAATCTCTACTAACTATGAAAGTTTCAATGGATTTAGACGTGACTACCGGATCAACTGACAACAGCCCATAGATATACTCTAAAAAAATTTTGGGACATAGTCGAAAAAGACCGGAACTTGGACTAATAGAAAATTTTAACTCGGACTCAGAGTGGATCTGGAACCAAAAAATGTGATCCCACAGTTCCCTAAATACGCTTGTTTGATAAATTAATTTTGGAAAACATATTGTCAATGGGATTATGTGCTATAAATTTTACTCTCACATTTATTTCCGATTAGTCCACTTCAAGAACATGCATCATTTATATTTCTTTCTTCTAGAATGGAAGAATCTGATCATAGTTTATCTTTCTCGATCGATCTGTCAAATGTATAAGCATCGAGTAGTAACATTAAATATTTTTGTGACTTACGACTTTCTGTATTTGAGTGTTAAAGATATTGAAGTAGACAAGTCTTTTTTTAATTGCAACATTCATAAATAATGTGAGTTTCGATAAATAAACGATATCCTGTTTGTATTAGAAATAAAAAAGAATTCAGTTTTAGTCAAGAGGAACGACTATCAGATTCGAACATAAGTTCTGTATGTTTGGATCAGTAAAATTATATTGCCAATATAAAACTACATTTTAAGGAAATTAATTATATATTCTGATAGTGCTCGGAATTCTCTATCGTCCTGTGTATTTAAGTCTTGCCTTATATTTATTTGCTGAAAAATATTTCTAATACAGTGAAAATACCCACATCGTCAGATTCTCACGAACTCCATTTTTTGCTCATTTCTCATGTGTTTTTAAAATTTTTATCTATACAATAATCCGTTTTCTAGAAAAGCAATTATATATTTTGAGAACCTTTGAAACGCTCTATTACCCTGTATATTCAAGTCTTGGTTTGAACTTATTTGCCAAGAAATATTTCGAACATTGTCAATGCGGATAAGGATGTCTTCATTGTACTTGAAATATTTTTCAGCAAATAAATGCAAGTCAAGATTTAAATACACAAGGTGATAGAGAATTCCGAATGTTATCAGAATATATAATTATTTTTCTCAAAATATAGTTTTATATTGGCAATATTATTCTACTGATGCAAACGTGCAGAACTTATGTTCCAATCTGATAGATTTCTTTTTAATTTTTATTAATTGTAAATTTAAAAAAATCAGCAAAATCAGAAGAATCACGAAAATCTGATTTCCAGTATCCTTTCCTTACAACAGACAGACTTATCCAGCCGGCAAATATAGGTTTTTCGTCTAATTCGAAGGTGAAACTAGTCGAAATAATAAAAGAAAAAACCGAGATGGGATTCATACCAGACGCCGTCATCAACATAGAAGTACGTTATTTCTCTTCGATGTGTTCTGTCCTCTTCTTCAACAAGTGCGACTGTGGATACAAATGCGATTGTTATTCTTTTCGACACATACACCAACACCTAATATGAACATCATCATTAAGATCATCAACAAACATGACCACTTCCAAAGATTCACTTGAAGAAAGCTCTCCAGTAATTGTGAACATTAACAAGAAATAGAAGTTTTCGTATCTTTGAATGCATGAAGAAATTTCATAGTTGATCTTCACACTGAGAAACATATTTTTTTTAAAGAGTGAGAAATGAAAAACAAAAACCTCTTACAACTTTTCAAGTAGAACTTCTGAAATGTTTCATTCTGTTCGATTTTTTTTACTTGTGTGTTTTTTTTAATGATATGCATATATGTTCATATTATCTAAGAGTATGACAATGGCAGCGGAATAATTGAATAGAAATCAGACACCAATATCCACAACCACGTTCTCCAACAATGAGAAATGAACCGAAACTCATTAGTCAACAAAAATTTTTGCATCCTAAGCATTCTAGATTTATTTCACTACTGATTTTAATCGTCCTTCGAAACCATGGCGATGACTTATGCCAGTGCTTCTTTATACTATTTGAAATCACAGTACTACTTCTTGAAACAATATTATTTTCCACCTCGCACTATCTACTTGCCTTATGATATCATGCAAAGTCTCTTGCTCAGAATTGATAGTTTCACGTATGCCGTAGCAATATATAGTTCTTTAATAAAAACGAATATATTTTTAGTCCAAATTAATTGCACCAATAGCTGAATAAGCTTTTCTCCATGCCAAAGCTCTCACATAATCACGAACTACTATTTTCCCATTTGGCGTTGCATTGTTCATTTGTATTTTTTCATATTCATTTAGAACTTCAAATAAAACCATATCTCTTGAGCTAGCATCGATCATTTTTTTGACTCGGTCTTGTCGTGGATGTTTTAGAAATTCCTGTAACTCATCTCGATGTTCGAATTTCGCAAAATATTCAGCATTATGTAAACAATGAATATGCCAAGCATTCCATACTGATTCGGGCGAGAAAGATGCATGATCTAGAGCATTAGATTGATGCTGATGACCAAGAGTTGAGGAATAAATATGATTGATAGCGATTTCAGCAGCATACAATGATGTCACATCTCGCCACCATTTGGGCCATTCACCAATATCAGGTAAATCTTCAATGCCTAGACAAAAACAAACTTTCATTTATATTTTATGGGATGCAATATTTTTTCCAGTGACTGTAGAAATAACAAAAAAGTATAATCAGAACTTTCTCATAGTATATTTCAACATTCGTATACAATAGACCTTTTCCGTGAAGGGCCTATCCAGAATAGTCTTGATGAAGGTGAAATATGGCATTCATTTAGAAATATCAAATACAATCTACAAACAATAACGTTATAACATCACAAGAAACTAATATCTATGAAAAAATGCGTTCATTTACAAACTGAAAATATTTACACGAAGAGCCGATGTCTCATAAAGAAAAAACTTCAAGCTCAGATATGGACTTCCATTGACGAATTCATATCAAATTATTGTAACAGAATTATCGTTTTTATGAAATTCATGTGACACAATAACAACGGTCTTATTCAGTCCACAAGAGTAATTGAGTAGTTCAATTGATATCTATTTTATACTTATTTCAAATGAAAAGTCAATAATCATGATTCAATGAAACTTCTTAAGTATACAAATGTTCAACTAGTTCTGTTTCCCTATTTCATCTCAGTCACTTTGTGATAGTTCTTAAATCAAAGGCTTGTTTTTTTCATGCAACTGCTCGTGATCCTCATCAATTGAAAAACAAAAAAAAAAGATAAGGCCTTTCTTTCATACCAGGAACATTATGTCCAAATTCATGTTTCAAAAAATGTTTCCCAATGATTGTTGTTAGATTTGCAATTTTCACTGAATCATGTGGATTGACTAGCCATGTCGAACATAGATTATGTATACTTGAATGATTGTAACCAAGTTTCTTTGCAATCTTTCG